AAAAAAAAATCAATTATTTTTTTAGATTCTTTCTGAGTTACCTGTATAAACATATTTCATTCATAGTATAATTTCAAAATCTAATTGTTGAGTTCCAATTCCCTCAATTAGAGGTTATCAGATACAATAACTACTCTAATAAAGCTATAACTTTGAATTCCATTTTATTCCTAAATAACTGTATTGAATAAGAGAAATCTTAAATAATTGTATTGAATGAGAGAAATCTTAAAAATAGGAAAGTCAACATATTGAGCTAAAACTAAACAGGGGCAATCTCATCTCATCAAGGAAATCATGTGATTTTTCTCAAATTTTTATAAACACCATTGATGTGTCAAAATTAGTTCCCATGAAACAGGATGTTTTCAAAAATCGGTCCAGATTCATACTCTTCAAAAATCTTAAAAATAGGGTGCACATTTGTTCTATAATAATTAGGAGATTTGTTCCGTAATTAGGACAGATTTGGATGATTTGATTTGTACAGTTTTTTATTTCCTTATTTCCTTAATTAGGAGACTAGTAGTATATATAAATGTATTTTGAGGAATTTTTAATTATAGCTGATTATTACAGTTTTTATTTCCTTAATTATAGCTAATTTGTACAGTTTTTTATTTCCTTATTTCCTTAATTAGGAAACTTCTAAATAAATCTCTAGTTATCGATTAACTTTTAATTTTGAGGAAAGTTTCCATTTCATTAAGTTCATAAATAGGCAAAACAGGGAAATAAAAAAAGGAAACAAATAATAGGCAATTCTTATAATTAAATAGGAATCCCTATAAATCAGTAACAATAATAAAGAATAAATCGTAGATCCTAATCCCTGAAATTCTGCAACATAATAATATCCCATAAATTTTGGGATTTCTATCCAACAGTGATTATTCTGTTAAATTTTTTTGTTTATAACTATTCTGTTAAATATATTGTTATTACTATAATTATGTAAATTTAAAGGTTTTTTTATGCATATATTATATAGAAATATAATTTTACATTTTAGGCAAAAAATATAGGATCTTACAACCCTCGGTTTCAATTTTTTCTCCCCTTCCTGATCTTAGGTAAAATCTCAATTTTAACAACATTGCTTTTGAGATTTTGCATAACTGACAGATAAGTTCTCATGACAAACATCAAATTAATGAATCATCTATAGTTTCCACGACAAAATGGAAATCAAAGGTCCAATAATTAGAGTATGAAGTTCAAACATTTTGCAAAACAAAAAATCTGATCCATTAATATAGTACCGTGGACTGTAGAAAACATGAAACATGCTTTTCGCGAATATAGCATTGGCCACAGAAGAAAGGAAATTGGGATAATAACTCTGGCTACCAACAATTGATTCAGGAAGACCATTTCTTGGTCGAGCAGCTTTTCGGATTCCCAATCTCAATTCTCCATTTTCACCCCTACAAACAAATTAATGACCAATAAGAAACAAACATTATAATGATTTTATTATCAGTCATTTTCCATGCTTCCAAATTTTGGCAAGACAAATTCTAGATCCCCGAGAACCAAAAATGTCACTATGCTAATTTGGTACTTCACTGTCACTATGACAAGAAGCTTCCTTAATATTAACATCAACAATGAATGTTTACTAATCATTCCAATAAAAGAACAAATTAACAGTGATTGCTAGAACAGTATAGGAAAAACAAACATATCAATACCAATGAAAACAATATCCTATTTGAACATGTATACACACCTTAGAAACAGAACTGCATCTCCAGAAACGAGATTCTTTTGGTTAACAAAGATACTCCAGCCAGTAGTGAGCAGATGCCGCCTTGGCTGACCTGACAAAAAGTTACCACATGGACTTTTTGTATCATTTATGTCAATCAATATGTGATTATGAAGCCAGCAACACCAACTTTTTCATTTATTTTTTCAATTACCTCTGTAAATATGTCTAAATTTCCATTCCACACCATGCAGGTCTTTGGCAACAAGCTCTTGAGAGGGTCTCTGCTGCTTATAATCCTGTAGTGAGCACAAAAGCAATTCATCATTCTCAAGGAGACAAAGAATTCAAAACTCTTGAAAAATTTAGTTGTAGAACTTATGAGTGCAAAGTAGAGCATGGTGTCACACCAAAGGAGGAAAACAGTCTTCAGCAGCTCTGCGAGGGACTGAGAACCCCCCATGAGTGCTGGTGTCTAAGGCTGTAAGCGTTTTGCAAAACATGTGAGGTGTTGACTTGGCAGGTGTTGTTTCATTTCCCTGTTCATCTGCTCTCAATTCCTCACGATCTTTCCCCTCCAAATACAATCCTGCCAACTGAACACAACCCAAGATTTCAAGCACTCCCCTTGTACTACAAACAATGCTCAAAATAATAAGAATTTCTCTACTTTTACAGAAGCAAAATAAGGTTTGAACAGCCACAAATGTTAGTCATGTTGCATATCAGCTTCAACAGCCAGCACCACAAGAGTTGTTACAAAGGAGAAAACAAACCTTTGCCAAGTAAAGATTGCGGTGGTCATGAACCTCATTTTTTGCTTTCTCCAAACATCACCGCGTAAAATTAAAAACAAGAGAATCACACAATTGAAGAGTAATAAGAAAAATTAGGTCAGTGGCATGAGGGAAGTAACCTTCGTTGCCGAGAGTGGATTGTTGTTTGGGGTGTTTCAAGATGGAGAGGCCGTGCTTGAGAACTTTCTCGGAACGGTGAACCTTGAGCTTCCTGACAAGGCAGAGGTAGTCCCACGCGCCGCCAACGGCAGTAGCACAATGCCCATAGCCTCCTCACTCCCAACAGCAATCTTAACCCCCGAATTGTGGAGCGCGGGGAGTTCGTGCTCGGTGACGTCTGCGTCGTCGAATTGGAATGCATGAGGGTTTGAATTTAGGGTTTGGGAAATGAGGAGGGGAATGCGGGAGGGGGCATTGGAGAGGAGGAGGTTGTTGAGGAGGACGAGGAGGAAGGCGCGGGATTCATGTAGGGTTAGAAAATCGGGGATAGTGATGCGGTGGTTGAAGGAAGTGGTTGGAGTGGTGTTGGACGAGGAGAGTCTATCGAGCGCGGTGGAGTCGATACGCATTTGAGAGCGGGAGCGACGGCGAAGACAGAGGAGGAAGCACTTGAGCTCTCCGTGGTTGCTCGCGGCGGCTGGGACGTTGCTGAGTGAAAGGCTTTAACCTAGCGTGGTCGCGGGGTACATATCAGGGGCTCACTTCTACATCGGTCATAATAAAAACCGATGTAGAATGGCTCATATTTACATCGTTTCTCCTCCTAACCGATGTAAATATGTTTACATTTTCTATTTATTTACAAGTTTGCCACCGCGTTTATGATTTACATCGGTTATAGTAAAACTGATGTAAATTTAGCGATGTAAAAGAGTGTTTTTGTAGTAGTGTTCATGTGCATTTGTTTGCGAAACTCAGCGTGCTCCTCCATCTATATGTACCCAGCAGCGTGTACCTATAGGTCATCCATGTCGTTGGGTTGTCTCGTGTAGAAATGAAGGGGCCCGAATTAAGTGCCATGAGCATGGAGTACAGTGCGACCTCGTGGTTGAGGTTCCAAATCTTCACGAACACGTTGGTGAAACGTTCCATGAATTTCCTGAGGGGCTCCGTGTCGCCTTGTCCACCTCTTGGTCTTTTAGGCCTTAATGTTATTCCATCATGACCTGGAGAAGCCGCAGAGGAATCAAGCCCAGCTCTAGATTGTTAGGAGGGACTATGCAAAAATGCATAAGTCCTCGGAGGTCGCTCTAAAGGCCAATGAGGCCTATGCTGTTCAAGTTGGCGACTTGCGAGAGGTTGCCAAAGCTTCAAAGGTTGAGGTCGAGATTGCTCAGGGGCGCATTCAGTCATTGGAGGAGGAGACCGAGGCTTTGCGGGCCAAGTTGCGGGTAGTCGAGGAGAAGCATCTTTGTGATGTAGAAGTTTTTTGTATTATGTTTGAACACTCTGTTTATATTTTTGAATGAATTTCGCTTTTGTTTGCATTAATTTGGCACCAGTTTCTTGATTTTGCACTCTTTAATGTTTTCATCTCGACTTGATTCGATCTCCGTTCAAGGTTTAGATGTGACCTTGGGTTTTGGTTAAGGTTCGAATTTGACCTTTTATCATTTTAAGATTCAGACTCGACCTTAAGGTTCAAACGTGACCTTTAATTTTTGAAACTCTTAAGGTTCATACTTGACCTTTAATTTTTGAAACTCTTAAGGTTCATACTTGACCTTTAATTTTTGAAACTCTTAAGGTTCATACTTGACCTTTAATTTTTGAAACTCTTAAGGTTCATACTTGACCTAATTTTATTTTATGGCTCGTACTCGGCCTTAAGGTTCAAACCTATCCTTTGGTTTTGTTTTAAGACTCGAACTTGGACTTGGGTTCAAATTTGACCTTTTATTTTCATATTTAAGACTCGAATTCGGCCCTAAGGTTCAAACTTGACCTGATTTTGAGGCTCAAACTCGGCCTTAGGGTTCAAACTTGACCTTTTTTTAAGGATCGAACTCAACCTTAGGTTCAAACTTGACCTTTAGTTTTTGCTTCCAAGGTTCGAATTCGACCTTGGATTTTAAGGTTCAAACTTGACCTTTAGTTTTCGTGTTAAGGCTCAAACTTGGCCTTTGAGGTTCAAACTTGACCTTTTACTTTCGTTTTAAGGCTCATATTCGGCCTTTAAGGTTCAAACTTGACCTTTTATTTTGGGCATGAGGCTCGAACTCGGCCTTAAGGTTCAATGTTTTAGATTGGGTTTTTTCGTGCATAATTAACATAGACTTTAGGATATTGAGAAGACAAATATGTTTTATTGGAATTTGGACGTGCCTCATTAAAACCTTCTCGGCCAAAAACCCTTTTTTTTTTTCTCTTTTAGGGATAAAAAAAACCGAGGAGGAAAAAGAGTACATCATCTTTTAGTACATTTTAACTAAAGTAAAATTTAAGGTGGGTGGCGTTCCAAGTTCTAGGGATTGTCGAGGCATTTGAGTAGCGGCATTGAGACACTTCGCCTGAATAGTTTGCCTGATTCAATGATGAACCGAGGCGACTGGTTCTTGACTCGCCATGCTTCATTTTTGTTGTCGGGCAAAATTCCCTCACTTGGGTAGCTCCATATGTCGGTCATCCATCCTTTTTTGACTGATTCGGTCGAGCAGATTGCCTCGCTTTCCAAGCTCGGAGAGGACAGGGTCTCTTAGATAATAGTTTTATGTTTCCTGGGTATTTGGTATTGGCGAGCTTTGAGAGGAGGTTGGCCCTGGCGTTTCTTTCTCGAGGTACATGGTGGATGGTGAAACTTTGGAAGCGCGAGGTCCAGGCCGAGGTGGTGAGGTGATATCGTTGCAAAAGAGAGTCTTTAATTTGGTAGGTACCTACTAGTTGTTCTACCATGAGCTTGGAGTCATTGTTGCAACAAATGTTCCTTGCGCCGATGTCGTGTGCCAATCTCAGTCTGGCTAGAAGTGCTTCATACTCGGCCTAGTTATTGGTGGCTTGGAAGTCGAGCTTCAGAGATTGCTCGACAAGGATGTCATTGTGTCCTTCCAGGATGATGCCAACGCCCCTTCCTTTTGGGTTGGAGGAGCCATCTACGTGCAATGTCCAAGTTTCTTGATCTCTTGAGGTGACCGGGGTTAGTTCGGCTACAAGATCTGCAAACATCGGGACTTGAGCGTTCCCCTACTTTCGTAACGAATTCTAAATTTGGACAGCTCGACCGACCATGCAATCAAACGTCCGACGAGTTTGGGTTTTCAGAGTATCTTTTTGATGGGGTAGTCGGCCTTGATGATAATTTGGTGACTCTGGAAGTATGGTCAGAGTCATCGGGCGACGGTGACAACTGCTAGGGCTAGCTTCTCGATCGTCTGGTAGCTCATCTTGATATCTTGGAGGATGCGACTGATAAAGTATATTAGGTCTTGTTTTGTATCATCCTCCCGCATGAGGGCTGCACTGATCGCGTTTTCGGTAGCTGCAAGGTACAAAATTAATTCACCTTGGTCCTTTGGTCGAGTTAAGATTGGTGGGGTGGCGAGTAATTCCTTGAAGGTTGAGAATGCAGCTTCACATTGCTTAGTCAGGCGAATTCCTTGGGTTTTCGCAGTAGGTTGATGATCGACTTTGCCTTCTCTACTAGATCTGGTATGAAGCGTGAGAGGGAGGCTAACCAACCTGCCAATCTTTACACTTACTTTAACGTTTGGGGGGACTTCATGTTAATGATGGCTTCACACTTCTCGAGGTTTGCCTCAATTCCCCTATTGGTGATCATGAAACCTAGGAACTTTCTGCCTTGCACCCCAAATGCACACTTCTCGGGGTTCAATCTCATGTTATGCCTCCTAATCTCTCCAAACACCTCGGCCAAGTTGACTATGTGTGATCCGGTCGAGGTGGTTTTTCTGACCATGTCATCGATATAGACCTCCATGTTTTTTCCGATCTGCTGATGGAAGACTTTGTCCATTAACCTTTGGTAGGTGGCGCCGACATTTTTAAGGCCGAAAGGCATTACTCGGTAGCAGAAGTTGGGGCGCTCAGTGATGAATGTTGTTTTGTCCTTATCCGGAGGGAACATCGGGATTTGGTTGTATCTCGAGTAGGCATCTAGGAAGCCGAGGAGAGCGTGGACGGAGACGCCATCCACCAACCTATCTATGCTTGGTAGTGGGTAAGCATCTTTTGGACACGCCTTGTTGAGGTCGGTGTAGTTGACACACATTCTCCACTTTCCTGAGCTCTTCTTTACTAGCACCACGTTGGCGTGATGGAAGAGCATGGACCAAAGGTCCAACCACTAGAGCTATGGCTAGAAGATTACTTGAAGATTTGATTGCTTCAGAGCTTAGTGGGCCTAAGGTTCTCTTCACTTGGGCTTTACATGCATGACCACCTCTTTATTGCATGTTTAGTAGTATAGGAACTCATGTTATTTTGGTATTGTATTATGGACCTTAGATTAGGATTTTTGGGCTTTAGGCGTGTTGGGCCTAGTTTTGGGCTTCATAGGCCTTTGGGCTTTTGATACTCAATATTGGGCTCATTTTCATTCTTGTAATTTTTCTTTTCCATTGTATTTGATTGGCCATTGTATTTAGGCCATTAGAATAGGGATATTAGAGGATTACTTAAATAGGTTAATTAGGCTAAACTAGATTTAATTTGGAATGCATTTAAGTTGCATTTGAGTCACATGGTTGGCACCACTTGTGGCTGAACATGTGCACCTTCAAATCAACCCTAAGTTCCTTTTAAATTAAATTTAGATGCATTAGAGCACCTAGGTTCAAGATAATGCACATGGGAGTGGAGATTTGAATTCAAATTTGAATTTGAATTCAAATCTAGGCGCCAAATGTGATGCTTGAACCTTGACGCCATTTTGCTTGCTAGC